ATAGTAAAATTGAGTGTTGTATTTCATACTGTTCCTTTCCAAAATAAGACCTAATATAGCTTTAAATGGTTAACTATATATGTAAACTGCTGAATCTGATAAGGGAATTAAATGCTTATTGTGGAATTGTAGTAATTTTATGACTTTTAACTTGAATGCATGTACTGGGTTTGGCAGGGAAATATATTGGCACACCAGCCCCACCAAGATTTTTTTCACCAGGCGCCACTGAAATACACGTAATAGTGAAGTCAAAATAAATGTCTATATTATGTTGCCAACTATTCCTAAGAAGCTGATAAATTGCCCTCTGGCCGCCATGCTTCTAGTACTTTCCTGACTTCCCCTCCACGTTTCCCTGTGTGGGCTTTGAGTGCTTTTATTGGTCCTGGGTGGGGTGTCCTGGACCTCAGCATGTAGAGAATAGTCCGTGTTCCGTGTCAGCTCCGGTTCTCCAGCTCCCAGTGGGGTTCTGGGTGCCGTCTGGTTCCGGTCCGGTTCTCCAGCTCCCAGCGGGGTTCTGGATCCTGTCTGGTTCTGCTCCGGTTCTCCAGCTCCCAGCGGGGTTCTGGTTCCGGTCCGGTTCTCCAGCTCCCAGCGGGGTTCTGGTTGGTGGCGCTGCTGTGGGGGGTCCATGGCGGCTCCGGCCCTTCCGCAGTGTGGGGGCGGGTCTGCGTGGGTCCGGGATCCTCCGTGGTTCCGGGCAAGTGGCGTTGTTGGCGTCCCGTCCGTGTCCAGGGTCGGTTCGGTTCTGGTTCCGTCCGCTGGTGTGAGGGGGTCCCCCTCTCAGACTCTGGTCCTCTCCATGGGGGTGTCTGCCGGGTGGGGTTAAGGGTGCCTCCTAGGAGGTCCTCTTTTCCCCGCCCGGCGGGAACCCCCACCTCGTGTTTTAATGGCACCTTAGACATTACATCTGACCATGCCCACACTAACACATAGGCCCAGGGGGCTGGGTGTGCTGAGCGGGGTCGGGGGGTGAGGCTCTTCGGGCAGTGGGGACTGCTCGGGGGGCCTGGCTCTGTGGCCCCGTGGGCCAGCCCAGCCCCCTGTCTTAAATACCTGTTAGAC